GTAGAAGTCACATGTGCAAGTTGACTTGGAATCATTATTATAATTGAAAGTATAATTAATAATATAATTATACTGTATTTACTATATATTGTTATAATAAATTCACACTTAAAATTAGTGCATAAATATTTTAAATATTTCAACTTATAGTGAATGGAATAGAATAGAAACGACGCATTTCCACATCCTAACCACACATACGCATGCGGAAAATACGTCGTGCACGATAGGCTAACACATTGTCAGTCGCTGAGAAATTTTTTATGAAATTACAAACTATGGTCATCGTGCCCAATGTCTTTCACCCATCCAAGTAGCACCTGGGCACGTGAGTGAGATTCTGACAATGAACACGGAAGGGGTTAAACCTGAAAATCCTGAACTAAAAAAAAATGATTAGTTTATGTAATTTGTATCTAACGGACTATTGTATTATTTCAAACTTTAATGATTCTACTTTTTCAAAAATTATTGAAATTATAACAGAATGAAGACAATGAATGAAGAACATGAATGTATTAAAAAAGATATGAAATCTAACAATTGACTCAAACAATTAAAATCAAACAACTCTAAATTAAATATTAATAGAAACAACCTCAGGCGACTTCGTCATCAAAGCATATTTTCGAAAATGCGAGAGCAGTGTTCAAACTTGTTGCTTTGATTCAAAAATCTGCCTGTCGCGAAGTATCTTCTTGCACATAAAATTTTATACATTTTTCTACAGAAAAAATTCTAATAAAAATTCTATATTTCAAATTCTATTGAAGTTCATAATTATAAAATCCAATTAATTCAATCATTCGATACTATTATAAAAGGGAAGATAAAGATGAAAATGATTAAGTATTACAACAAAATATATCCAACCATTATCAATAAGTAATAACTACATCTTTCATAGCAACGAAGTCGGAGGACTTCTCTACTACAAAATGATCAAACAAAATCATTTTAACAATAATTATTTATAAATACTTATAATTTCTATTCATATAGATATTCATATGGATATTTTATTTTTGCAAACATTTATATTGAATATATTTTGATTTTACAAGTAATTACTGTAACTATATACATTCAAAGTAATTGTAAAAATCGCGTTGTGCAAGAAGCCCTATCCTGATCTAATACATAAAAAACCTGAAGAAATGTTACTACTCGCGGGTATAAAAAATACCCGCGGTCACTATGCTCATCAAAAATTCTATATATACAACCAATCACCCGTGTCGATTCGGACCTTTCATCCAACGACATGATTGAGTGACCAGAGGAACAAAAATGCATGCGACTCACGATGAAATGCGAAGAACATTGTCATCGATGAATTGTAATCTAGTCACCAAATAGAAATCGTCCAATTTCATGAAATGAAAGCTTGAAGAAATCTGTAACATATTAGAATTTATTCTTGTTAATTTTTTGCAAAGTTTGAATATTAATTTTCAATGAATATAAACTTTTGGTAAAATATTCTATTTAAAAATGAAAAATTTTAACTTACCAAAATCTAATTTAATTTCTAATTAATAATTATTGATAAGTAAAAAGAAATAAAGTACAAATTGCATAATGACTTACATTCTTAGCTTTTGAAGTATCACTAGATCCTGCGTAGAAAGCAAGAAGAGGAAAGAGTGATAAACCTTTAACAAAATAGATGAAATTATTAACTAATTATTATTTACTTATTATAAATAAAAAAAGTGATATTAATATTATAATGTTATAATATTGCATATGTTTTTAAAATATTGTTATATACCATAAAATATTTCCTAGTATTTTCTTAACTATTGCACTTACCGCCATTAATCACGTGATGCCATTTTGAATTCTGTGGCGTCTTTCTAATTCTTCGAAATTTTCATTGTATGCAACCAATAATCTGTACAAAAGACACGCACAGTTTTCAAATAGATGTATAAAAGGAATAAATTATATGTGAAACAATAAATAAAAGAAATATATTATATACGAAATATATTATATACGAAAGAATAGTCAAGGTCACATGCCGCTTAGAAAACGCACAATACAAATTACCAGCAATCGTAATAAGCGACAATCAAAAATGAAATTTGGTTGTAAATTACAATAATATTCAACAAACATAGTAGGAATTACTTACTAGTCAGTAGCAGGATGTGGAAAATAACACAACTGTAAATATTACACAATTAATAAATGTCAAGTGCAATGATACGTCTTAACTTTATGATTTTCGATGCTGGACTACCCCCCGCGCAACAGGTTCGCGTCGCTGACTAATTTGGAGGGGGCGGGGGGGTTCAAGTGTAGATGAATAGGATTCATGGAAGAGTAAAATATCCAATAGAAATTTTTTAACCGTATCTTATACATAAATTTTTACGCGCGCTAATTTAATTTGATGAAATTTATTTAAATTAATTAAATTGATAAATATAGAAACTAATTAAAAACGATGGTTTTTCAATGTCGAATATAGATTACATTTTTTAGTAGAAAATTTTAATTATATCATCAATTTCGCAAAAATTTTCATACTTGGTTTGTACACAATTGTTGTATATATATATTAACAATTGTTCAGGAAAATATTCAACTTTTAATTTATAATTTTCAACTTATAAGAACTTTTTGCAAATATATTATGTTCAATTCTAACCCCAACATTAATGACTGGATTAAATATATATAAGTATGTAATAAGACATGAGTAATACATAAATGATAAATTCTTTTAAACTGTTCTAAATCGTGTATACATTCAACAATGTAACAAATACAAAATTTATTGATTCTAGTCTTTACCTGACAACTTCTGTATAATATCCTGTCTTGCTGTCCTTCCCGCGTAAAACTAACGTTTTTTTACATTACGTAATTATATCTCAGTACTGTCGATCAGTGAATCCCAACCTATGAATGTGTATGCTCAGAAGTGCTTGTTATTTTAAAAATAAATACGTGAAAAAATTGAATAATCCAGAAGTATAATGCGTATGTAAATTACAAGCATTTTTCCAATATCAGAAAATAAAATTTAGGGAAACTGATCGCCAAATAGTGCACAAATTGAGTTGTGAGACTGATACAAAAGTTGAGAATTACTATAAATCGATCGCAATATCGATTCGAGAATCGCAATAAGTGTATTCCGTATTTCGCCGATTGGAGGCGCTGTAATCTTTCTTTAATCTATATTTATATTGTCGAACTTAGAATAAAAAGTAAAAAATTCTCTTCTTTAATTCTTCCCATCTATTAAATAAAATAGTTGATTTAATAAAGTATCTATAATTTTATTTTTTAAACTTTGGTCTAAATCAAATAAGTGTGTCTTGATTTTATCTATGCTTCACAGAGGGCGCAACAAAACACTCCCATTTATCTAAAGTCGGTATTTCAATACATGAGATACGAAATCCTGTATAATGCTGTCTTTCCTATTTTTAATCAACGTTAGCATTTATATTTAATTTAATATTCATCTAAAGATTGCAAAAATTAAATTCTATACTTAAATTTGATTAATTGCGAACTGCGATATATATATCATACATGAGTACTATATTCTTATTGTAATCGCACAGCAACGTAATGAAATATTACCATTGATATTACTTTCACATAACATAATAATTACTATCAAATGATTGTGAAATTGAAAGAAATATATATTTAAAAATATATATTTAGAAATATATATTTAAAAATATAAGATATGGAGATAATTCTATAGAATAAAAAATATTTTTGATCTGTATATAATCTATAATTATTTGTTCCTTTACTTGTTAAAGAATGTGTATTGCTTTTAAAAAATTTGTATTAGCAAAAAAAATATATTCACATTTCAGTTATACAAATATCTTTTCTCTTTTCTTTATATAATTGTTATCATATATGAAAAAATATATGTATTATAAATAAAATACTGATAGAAGTTATCATATATGAAAAAATATATGTATAAATAAAATACTGATAGAAGTTATGTATACATATATTTCCACAATAGATGATTTTGTGAAGTATTTGATAAGTTACTTTTAATTACTACGGCAGACATTTATATAAATATATTTCATTGCATCTATAATTCCTTGCAAGTATTGACACGTATCCACAGACAATGTATCTAAGGATTTTATCTTCTGAAATAGGGGGAATCTTGTTTATTCTACACTCTTTGTTCGTATTTTCTTAATCACATAAAACGAGAAAACATATGCATAGACTGGAAATATATATCGTTTCAAGTAAATAGTACGTACAGTTTATCATCCAATTCAATATTTTTCGTTTATAGTCAATACCAGAAAGAGAATGTCGTCATAATAAACGGTTCATGCATTTGAGTTGAAATAACCGCGCTTAGTTTCCATCATGTATCCGGGTGTGTACTGTTCGCATAAAGTTTATCATTTTTCAATAAATAATTTTCTGTAATATAGAATTCTGACAGTAACAGATTAAGTGCCTGAATTTTTAATTAATATTTATATTGTGAATGCGTGTTTATCTGTGGTGAGGATTTGATAACACATTGTTTACATGTATGTACATTAATCCGATAGTTCTAGTACATTTCAACAATGGAAAATTACAACTAATTACAAATAATATTAGGTGAATAACAAAAAAATAAAAAGAAAGATTATGTCTTGAAATAAAAATTAATGAATAAATAGATCTCTGATCGAAACTGTTAATGGTTAGTAAAAACTGTATCAGATAATACATAATATGATACTTGTAACAACGTATTTTATTTTGTAGGAAATTACATCTTGATATAAATATGAACAATTTATGAAAGTAATTTATATGATACTAGATGATTTGGTTTTATTATAATAAATTATTTTTAATTTTAATCGTACTAGTATTAGTAGAATGTTTGCTCTAAAATGTTTACTTAACAGTTTTTATGACAAATAAAAAAGGTTGTATTTATAATTTAAAAATCTAATTATATTAATGATATAAATGATTATATTAATATTCCATCTGCAAAATTTAATAAAATTAAAACTGTTCTTATATAATATAAAATGTTTTTTACAGGGTAAAGAAAATTTTGAAGTACCAAAGGTTTTAATATAAGGTTTAAAAATGGTAAGCAAATTACCACATGAATTTAGAAAATATTTACGTAATCGAAATCATCTGCAACATATTCTTGAAGAAACACAACGAGCATTAGAAGTTATTAACATAGAAAACTTCTTTCCTGGAGGTAAATATTGAAATTTATTTGGTTCTTGATAATTTAAAATAAATAGTCTTGACAGTTCAAAATAAAATTTTACTTAAATATATATAATTTACATGATAATACCTAAATATATAATATTTTTACAGAAAATGTTATGGAAGAATTATTGTCTCCTTTAACATTGAATAGAATTACAGATATTTTGGCCAATTCTCCAGCTATTGTAGTTCTTGGGCAAGATAATAAAGCAAAAGCAACAATAGTCAATTCTTTAATATCTACTAATATTTTACCAATATGTAATGGACTGTGGCGGTGGATTAGACTTATGTATGGCCAGACAAACCACATTAGTCTTACATTAGGTCTAGAATATGAAGTGGTTGAAACTTTGCAAGGAAATGAAAAAGCTTGGACTACACTTCCAATTGAAGATTTAACAAAATCTGATAGTGAAGATACAACTTATCCAACAGTACTTGAAGTTCAATTAAATCAACCCATATTAAAAGATGGTGTTCAAATATATATTGCCCCAAATACTGGAGCAATAAAAGTTCTTGAAAAAGAGTTGTTACCTATTTTACCAATATTTTTATATGCACTGGGTGATCAGCCTTTAACAGACCAAAATTTGGAGGAATTAAGAAACTTAAAAAGAACTTATCCCTTTAATTCTGTACTTTTCATATCATCTTTGGAAAATATCTCATTGACTGGCATTGATGCTGAATTGACTGAATCTGAACAACATAGACTTCAAAATCGATTAACCTCCAATGATGATGATATTGATTTTGATAGAATGAATTCACTTGGTTTAATATGGTTTGATCAACTTACAAGTTTAGGTTTTCTTGGAATGAAAGAATCTGTTGAAGTTGATCAATTATCTTGGCTAGGTAGTGGGCAATGTATTGGTTCCAGTGATTTTCTTGATTCATGCAAAAAAACAGATCGAATTGTATATTTCATTCGTGGATGTTTGCAAACATATCTTATTAATGCTAGCACTTATTTAAACGAAGTACATACAACAAGTCTAAGAAAATTTATTTTAAGTGCCTTTGATATGGCACGTATTATCCAGATAACTCCTAAGAGAATACAATATGCTCAACAGAGGGAGAATGAATTATATGCCAATTTAATGAAAACTGTTAATGAAAAACAACAAGAATTAACTGGGTTAATACAGAATATTATTCAAGAGATGAAAAATGATGTGTTATCATCTAATAGTGATGTATGTTTGTATCAAAACACGCCTTTCAATAATAATGGAAGGCCAGAATGGTCTGCAACTGTTAAAGCTGCAATTTCTGAAGTTCAGAGAATAGTACTTCACCGTTTAGGCGAAAAAGTTGTAAAACAACTTGTAAATTCTGTCAAATGTTTGCGCGAAAGCTTTGTTGGTACTTTGCAGCGTTGTTTATTAAGTCTCGAAAAAACTTACGAACGTGACACTTGTCTGTTGGCTAGTGATGCTTTGAAACAAATACTTTCAGCTGCATATAATATTGAATTACATAATTCTTCACCATTTTCGATATATTCGTTTTTAGAAAGATTGAATCTAATTTTTAAGTCTTCATCTTTACAATGGTCATCAACTCATACTTTAGATGTAGCTTGGAGGAGAAAAGTTACAATTGAAATACTGAATTCTTTATCAGCAACAAAGCTAGCTAAATTAATATTAATGCAATTTGGGGATAAACTCGAATCTTCTCATAATGCTTTTCAAGCAGCTCTTAAATCTATAGAAAATTATTATTCTGGAAAATTGGAAAGAACAGAAGAACAGAAAATAGCTATTAGGAAACATTACGCCCCTAGATTGGCTAGATTAGCATTAGAATCTACATCAATGATAGATGTGGTTCGCTATGGAATGCCTCATTATAAAGAAGAAATTGGCCGTGGACAATATGGCATTGTATTTGCTTGCGACGGCTGGGGTGGTACGAACGGTCCTTGTGCAGTGAAGTCAGTTGTTCCGTCAGATGAAAGCCATTGGAATGATCTGGCTATGGAGTTTTATTATAGTAGATCTATTCCTGAACATAAAAGAATAGTGAAACTTCGAGGATCTGTTATTGATCATTCCTATGGTGGAGGATTTGGTTTTGGATCTGCAGTTCTTTTAATATCTGATCGTTTAAGTCGTGATTTATATTGTGGAATACGTGCTGGCTTATCTTGGCTAGAACGTATACAAATAGCATTAGATGTATTAGAAGGAATACGTTATCTTCATTCTCAAGGACTTGTACATCGAGATATTAAATTGAAAAATGTGCTCCTCGATACCGAAAATAGAGCGAAATTAACCGATTTTGGTTTTTGTATCACAGAAGTTATGATGTTAGGAAGCATTGTTGGAACACCTGTTCATATGGCACCAGAACTACTCTCTGGCCATTATGATAGTAGCGTCGATATATATGCATTTGGAATTTTATTTTGGTATATATGCGCGGGACATGTAAGATTACCATATGCTTTTGAACAGTTCCATAATAAAGAATTATTATGGACCAGTGTGAAAAAAGGTAAGTTTACAAGTTTTTTTTATAGCGAAATTTGTTTATATATTCTTCTTTCTTATATTTTCATTGTTACCAGGTATACGCCCAGAAAGATTACCTTCTTTTGATGACGAATGTTGGAGATTAATGGAGCAATGCTGGTCCGGAGAACCATCTAAACGTCCTTTACTTGGTGCCATTGTACCAGTGTTAGAATCCATTCAACAAAAAGCAGAAGCAAACGTAGCCTTACAAGGATTCTCAACTGAGAAGATACAAGAAAGCTCGTCAACAGATTCAAGAAATCCTGCATTAGCATTAGCAGAACCTTATAATCAAAGAGGTACTGTAATCAGTCCTCCTCCTGCAAAACGTAGAGCAACTGGAGTTGTAAAATACCACCTTTTTCTGACTAATTTATATGTTCAAATGCGGTAACTATGAGGCGCAAATTTTGCTTTCTTTGCTTTGTATTTAAAATTTTAAAATGATCTGACTATATTGAATCTCGACTTTAAACAAATTTTTTATTTTTTATTTGATGTTCTCTCAATAGTATTTTAAATGCAGTATTAATTCGACGACAGGCTTCTTATTGTTTTTACGTTTTTAAAAGTTTTTAAATTTTATATTTCTTTATTTAATAAAAACAAGTTGAGAAAAAAAAAACTGAACTATGTAAATGTAATTTATACCTAAGTAGTTATGAAGAGATTATATAAAGTTATTTTTATATTTATTAATATAAGTAACTATAATATTTGATAAATATGTAATTAGTGAACTTCAAGTTGTTGATAGGATAGACAGTAAGGAAATCCAAGATTGTAAAGATTAAAAAATAAATAAAGATTCCTAGTTTTGTACTGAATGTTTTAATACTATTATAATTTTCTTTGAAATATCCAAATTATATCATTTTCAATTTGCTAATATTTTCTATATATAGTATAAATGTAATTTAATCACTGACTTTTTGTATTGATAAAAATTTATATTGTTTTCAGATGACAGGTTCTTCAAAATAGAATCTACATAAATCTTTAAATGGAATTTCAGAAAGTGATTCTTTAATGTGAAAAACTTCTGTTATCTAACAATGTATATATGACTACAGTATATTTTTAAATTAACGAAACCTAAATGGAAGCCTAATTTCTTTAAAGGTATGGTATTTAATAGTGTGAGATTATGTATATAAAAATATTTTTACTTATACTAAAATTATTTTACATTTCTTTTATATTTTTAACATTTTTAATTTTTATACAAACTAGTCATAGTAGATTACGCATTTGTAAATAATCATTTTTTAGTTGTACTATTTTATTTAACGTAATATTGCACTTGTACAATTGAAGTATTTTTGTAAAAATATAACCATGTTAGGGAATTAACTTATAATCAAATATTTTAAATTCAAACTAATAGATCAAGATTACATTTTGCTTTTTCTAGATCATGTAGAAATTTATAAAATTCACTGATTGTCATTTCTACAAAAACATTCCTAGTTTTGCCATTTTCTTCTAAATTTAATTTTAAATGCAGAAATGATTTTCCCATGTTGTCAGACTCATTACTCGCTGCAGTTACTGCAAAAATTTATTTATTCAGTGTTATATTATTTTACAGAAATATTATGTATATAGAAAAGAATTATTCTTCATTAATAATTGTAATATGTATATTTTATACTGTATAATATATATATATATACTTCATTTTCTTATTTAACATAACGAAGGATGACGAAAATAAGTTTTATACTTTACAATTTATCAATTATTTTATAAATTTTATTTAACGTAAAACAATTTCTAAAATGACTATATATTTTGAGGTTAGATTCGTACCACCAAATTTCCACGAAATATCAAGGATTTTTGTAACATTTTTAACCATCTTGTATTCAAAATAAACTTTTTTATATTTACTAGTAGTGACTTTGTTTATATTCTACTTGTTATTGAACATGAAATGTTACATTGAAAAATACTGCAGCGATCTCTATACTTAAGTGAATGCAACAAGTGTAAATTACAAAGGCGCGAATGTATGAATGTATTTCATATTTCAGGTGGAAGAAAAGTATTATACAATTATTCAATTTATTATATACAATTGTTCAATTTATTATAATTTAATTATCAAAATATTATACAATTATCAATAACTAATTTTTATACTGAAATGACTACGAAATAATATATTTTAATTTAGAATTATGCAGTGATTACATTACACGAATATAATCGAATGAATATGTAATTTTAATCTGATTAGATATATTTTTATAATATATGAATGTACTAAAGTAAGATTATTTATTTTTATTTGCATTTAATTATATGTGTTATTATACATTTAATATTTTTGTTATGTTTAAATATTATATATTTGTAGCATTATATTTAAGTATTTTTATTTTAAGTTTTATTTTCTCGATTATCTTTAGAATTGTATAATTGACCGAATTAGAAAATTTAAATTTATTTAATTTAATCGTACTTTATTTCATTAACATTGATCTATTGATGAAAATGACGAAATATTTCTTTAATTAAAAATAATTCTTTTTAAATAATTCTTTCGAGTTTAGCTAGATGGCTGGTTAGATAAGAAACATTACCGTGGTTTTGATATGGTTATCAAAGATCTAAAAAATTGGTTCTGATAAATGTTTTTAATGTTGTATACATTCGATCTAAAACAAAAATAGCTGGAATCAAAAAACACCAGAATGCAATAAAACCCAATGTTAGTTTCGTAGTACTTGTATCACGAGTGAAATTGGGGTAGATTTACAAAAGCCAGAGGTTCATTTGTAGCGTGTCCAAGAGAAAACTCGAGACTCGTTTCAACCAACAGTATCAAATAAAATTATTTAGACTCTTAGAGTAATAGACGTTACAATGTAAAACAGATGATGAGTATATCAGGTTCGAAAGAGATTTTATTCGTCTCTTTTAGTCGCGAATTTCATTGACAATAATAATGAGATTTCCGTGGTTCGCGTAATCTTGTTTTTTTTTTTTTTTTCTTTTTATCGCAACAAAGAAGAAAATTGCATCTGTACAGATCTATTCTTATTTCATAACGTTAAAAATATGATCTTACGTTGTTATCGGTGAGTTGATTGATACTTGTTGATTATATTTTTAATTACGTAAGTGTTTGCTTCTGAGTATAACACGGATTTTGTTCGCTGTTCGTCCCAAGATAAAAAGCTTCCTTTCAGTATTTTCGTTTCTCAAAGGCGAGAGATTTGTTATGTTTTTTGAAGTAATAACCGATAATAAATGGAGCAGCTTGCAAAGTGTCGCAATGCTTAATTTAATTCTTGAGCTACAGTGAGAAAATGTCTCGGATTTTTGTAAAGTATGGATATTTCTTTTAGCGAGATAGAAAGTGAGTGAGAGAAAGATATTCGCGACAAGTCGTACGAACATAACAAATATGAATGCTCCTACTAAAACCAAAGTGCAAACTAAAAGTAATACCTTCAACACAGGCACAATCACTTTGGACGGTGTACGTTATCCAAGATATTTTTATATGATAAAAAATGAAAAAAAGACATATCTATCAAAGGTTCTAGAGGAACGTCACGATTAGAACTTGCAGAGAAGGTTTTCAACTGTGTTTCGTTCGTGTCGATTAAGGACGAGAGGTATCGTGTGTCGTGCTATCTGAATTTATATGCAAATTGTCTCTATAGCGCGCCATTGTTTTCTCGACATTCATAAATAAGAGATGGTAGAATCACGGATGAATCTCTTTAACCAAAAGATTGCGGTTTAGTTTCGCACAAATGGTACATCGGAACTTTCAAAATACGCCATATTTGTTGTTGAAGCTTGTTAGAATTTCTAATTAAACCACACGCCGAAATGATAAATCTGTCTTGAGCTACTCCGGCTTTAGGTCACTTGGCAATAAGTTTGTAAAGTTTCTTCGTGCGTACTTGCTCCGAGGCACTGAGAGATTATGATCAAGTTATCATAATTACCAGATAATCTAAACGTTATTTTCATTCGGCTATCCTTCAGCTCATCGAGAAAATTCAAGCTTCCATCGGCTTGTTTCTTATTGAGTTTCACTATATATTTCATACTATCTCTCTCTATATTATTTACTCGTTATATAAAAGATGAAAATACGATGAGAAGACGCTCTTTCACATACCTTTAGGAAAGTGGAACAGCAAAATTGAATAATTTTGTAAAGATCTTGAATAATTTTGAACCGATGAAACATTTAAGTAGTTATTTGATAATTTTGATACAAGTGAGTCGAATTATTTTAACTAACACTGTCTCTTCGTTTGACATTTGCGTATTTTCATCAATCACGTACGAGCAAACAAGCAAATTTTGTAAAAACCATGCAAAACCAGCAAATTCTCTTAGTATCAAGCTATGTTTGCACTCCCGCTGAAAGCGAGCAAACATTTGACAAAAGGGGATTGAAGTTTGGTGATTCGACTAAATAACTCGGTAACAGAAAGGGAAAGAAAGAGCAATAGCCATAAAATCTAGCAAGGAGAACAAGACATTACAACGCGGTGTACGTCCACTTAAGGAGAAAGTTCGCATAAGCGGCACCGTTTTAAAAAACATCCCTGCAGAGATACCTATCTTAGGCATCTCTTTTTTTGTCCTTTTATCGCCCGACTTTTTGCACGCTGTTTCACTGTTGCTGCACAATTACTCCAGAAATATGAGGCTGCTTTGAATATGGAAGATTTCTTATTACTTCAATTTGTTTGCGATAGAAAGGAGATTATAATGTTGATAAATATCGAATAAAAACAAATCGTGATGGCATTTTCTTTTCCCTCTCACAGAGTTATTAAAAAAAAATCTAGAGTTATTAAAAAAAATCAACTCTTATAAACGATATGTGTGACTGAATACGTGGGACCAAATATCGGGCTTTGAAGTAAAAACAATTTCGCGCGACACAAAATTGTCGCGATGGTCGTTTTGTCGCAAAAACGTTATCGATCGGTTGGCAAATTTTATAGGCCAGTTTTTCGGGCGAAATTTCACAGGCCCACAAAAATGGTAATAAAGCATGCGGCGTTATAATTTCGTAAATTATAGTCGAACTAATGCGGCCGTGTATGCAGTTTTATACCCCCACCAAGTTTAATAAAATTCATCCGGCAACCGTGACCACGTGCACCCTCGTGCACATAGACGAGCCTCTAGCTTAGTGTTCTCTCGACACTATCGTACGATCGTGATTGTGTTGGTGACGATTCCTGCAACTGGGTGGGGCGGTACGCGAGCGCCTGCGTCAGATAAGACATCCAGGAGCGTGTCTCCTGGGTTATCCTTAAAATATCCAGGCTATCCTATTACCACGAAATTCGAATCGCGGTGGCTTATCATTAATCTCGGCTACCCTTTGACGAGCGTAGTAGCTAGGACAGCCTGTAGTGTCCTTTTTCCATCGGGTCTGTACACCGTTTGTGCGCGTTTCAGAACACGATGCGCGCGGTCGTCATGCTTGACTTTCCCTTCCCCTGTCATCTGTTTCCTTTTAACTTCCCTTTCGCGATATTTTTTCGATTCCTACATCGTTGGTCGTTCTCTTCAGGAGCAACGATTCATGGCGAACCACTGAAAGAGAACGAAGCGATAAATCTACGCGCCATGAACGAAGTGCTCGGCAGCTTGCCCTTGTGCTCACTCGATCGACTTTTATTTCAAAGGTGGCTGGAAAGGGACAGTCGGGAGAAAAAAAAGAGAGAGGAAGAGGGAGAAAGAGAGAGAGAGAGAGAGAGAGAAAATAGGAGGCGATAACGTACAGATATACATATAAGAGGGAGAGGAAGAGAGAAAGAGATAAAGAAGGTTGAGCCTAAGGGAAAAATAAGGATGAAAGGGTGGGAGAGTTTGGATGCGCGTACGACGTGAAACACGGCCCAGTAATTTGGAGAAAATTTAAAGCGCTCTGTCGGGGTAATTGCATAGGCGTCTCTATGCCGCTGTGTGCGCCGTTCCCTACCGTGCTCTCCTTTTTCCTTCTTCTTCTCCTTTTTTCTTCTTGTTTTTCATCGGGTTTGTTTTTCATCGGGAAGCGAGAAGACTGAAAAAGCTTCTAATTAAATGATACGCTCGCGCTTTCCTGCCGACAAAGGATGTATCAAACGCGTACACGATGAAATTCTGTGGGATAGAAAGACGAGACGAATGGAAAGGATGAGACACGTCCACAGGTACAAATACGGAACGATCTACTTTTGGACAGCGTGCTCGACTATGTTCACGGTATTACGAGAACTTATTACGGTAAAGATCTACAGTCAGTTATCGCGGTTTCATGTCGCGAAGTAATCGTGGAAAATGAAAAGAGAGAGAGAGAGAGAGAGAGAGAGAGAGAGAGAGAGAGAGAGAGAGAGAGAGGACAGTTCATCCGAAGGAAAAGAGAAGGTAAATTTGATGGTGCAAGGCCGGATAAATCGCGATTGTCCGACGGAATAGACCGATTCTCAAAACACGAGAGATCCGGCGTTTTCATTTCTAAAGAGTTGCGCGTTTCAGCGATCTTGCCCGGTTCGTCCACTCTGTCCAGGACATATTAAATGCGGTGCACGCTGCAAACGAGTCGCCTTTGCCCGGCAGAGTATCCTCGGAATACGTCGTCGCGTAATTTCCAACGTCGAACGTGTACGCCGACGCGTAATAAACGACAAAAAGGAAGAAAAAAATGACTTCGTCCAACGGGGGAGTTGGTAGAAAAAAACAAGTAGCCGGTGCAGGGCGGATGGAGAGAAGCACGGTTGTGCGATTAGAGATGAGAGGAAAGGAGGGAGAAAGAGAGGAGAGACGCGAATCTAAGCGAGAAGAAGAAAAGACGAGAGTAACGACGGCGTGTGTACTAGTCCGTTTCGAGCGACACGATGTGTTTCCCCACGCTTTTTGTTTTAATTTCGTAGAGGCCACCAACTCTCGCTTCTTCTCTCCACCGTTTCTCTCTTTTTCTCCTGTTTCCACTCTCATGGGAACCCCGCGAAATGTACCACGGTGGTTTT